CGGAGTGGTCTCTATCGAGCTTGACCAAAATAAGGAAACAGCCGCCCTAGGAATGCTGGAAACTCGTTGCCTCGTTCCTCGTTATCTCCGTCTCGATTTCAAAGCATCATCTGATCCGCCCTTCAAGCTTTCACAGTTCGATATTCTCGATTTTCAGGTCGTGCGGCCCACAACAACCGGCAGCGACCAGATATCCGGTGTCTGAATGGCCAGTTTGGATGCGACGGGAGAAACGATAAGCGCAGCGTCGATCGGCAAGGTGGCAGTGTCCGAGAATTGACTTGGCGGAGGAAGATGGCGCAGCAAATATCGCGGAATATCGAGAGAGAACGATCGCAAGCGAATGCGCTTCAGATCGAGCGATGTTTGTTTTGTAAGACAGGTCGTAAAACCTGCACTGGCGACGCTGATGACAACAAACGCGTTGTGGACGTACTGGGGAGTGTGCGTGGATGCAGCCAAGGTGTTGGACCAACCACAACAGACTAATGCAAGTTGAACACTCGGGAACGAGCAGCAGTGGTGAACTGGCAAAACAGGGAATAAGACCCAGATAGTGGAGTACAAGGTTGGATGAAGGGAGTTAGAATCGACTACGTCGTACAATTGGGCATTAAATCAGATAGAAAAGAGAATGGAAGGAAGAGATGTAAAAGAAAGACAATAGATAAATTGGTAATAGTGGAAGAAGGGGAAAGAAGAGCGAAAAGATCCAAGGAAAGCGAAAAGAGGGGAAGAGAGTGTATGAAAAAAATGAAAAGAAAAATGAAATCTAGAGCGATAGATAATAATAATGGCAGTCAAATGGACAACAACGAGACGAGAGCGACTCGTTGGGTGGGGAGAGAAAGGAAGGAAGAAGAGGAGAAGAGAGGGAGAGAGAGAGAAGACAGACAGTGGGAGGAGAGCGAGGAATTGAGTTGAGGTGGAGTGAGGCACATCTGTTTGTTGCTTCAATGATCTAAGATGATAGTATGGGCCGTGCGGGCGATAGTTATTTCCTTTCGTTTCTATCTACTTGCAAACATCTTGATTGAGATCAAATGACAGGATACGACACTGCTGGAGAGAACAATAATGATCTGATATGTCAGAGATCAGAGATCTAGCTTACCGTTTGAGCGCTCAAATGGTACACGATGACGAGGGGGGATCGCTAACTATTTGACAGGCTTGATCCATAATCCATTGTTATCGTTGCCGATGTCCAATAATCCAAGCAACTAAGCAAGGTTAGGACAAAGACCATACTTTAACTCTTTCATAATGGTAGATCTCCTGAATAGTGTCATTCATGTTTACGGTTCTGCCCAAAATACTAAGGCTAAGGTACCAGTACCACCGTCTTCCACGGTCCATCATCCATGGATCGCGTCCCAGGCACACAGATCGATGCCCAAGGCCTCAAGGTGCTCTACCAGTCATGTGATATTATGTGATAAGCAGTAATCACGTGATCTATGATAATGATGTGCTTTCTTCTTGCGTCGATACACGGCAGCTATTGTAGCTATTGTCCGCGCCATAGCACGATAGTCCTGTCCAAGGAGATATTTGTCCCAATAAAGATGGCGGAAGAAACTCAGGCTGGAAGCGCTGTTCCTCAAATCTCCTTCAAGAAACGTACCAACAAGGCCAAAGCCAATTTCCGCAAGAAGCCCGATACGCCGCCACCTGCTTCAGATTCCGACTCTGATTTCACATCGTCTGATGATGAGGAAGGTCGCCGGATCAAACGACGACGCAAGAACGCTGCAGTGACTGCCTCTTCAGCTACAGCTGGTCCGCGCAGAAATACAACCGAAGATCAACCCGCCACCGAAACAGCCGCTATTCCCTTGACGTCGAGCAACGATGCGACGAAGCACTCCAACTGGTATGACGAGGAGTTGAGTGAGAAGAACCTATTAGGGACGACAAGAGCTCAGCCAGCATCGAGCACTCCATCTGCGCCCGACGGTACCTACAAGGGCGCCGCGAACTATTCGTCATTCATCCAGAAGAACCCCAATGCGCCTACCAAGCAGTTTGGCCCTATCAAGGCGCCTACCAACGTCCGTACGGTGACAGTCATGGACTTTGCGCCTGATGTATGTAAGGACTGGAAGCAGACTGGGTTCTGCGGTTTTGGAGGTATGTATCTCTTTTTCTTCCTTTTCTGACTAGAACAGCTCTTACTAACCGTCGCGCAGATTCCTGCAAATTTCTTCACGCTCGAGAGGACTACAAACAAGGCTGGGAGCTGGACCGAGAATGGGAGATTGGTACCAAAGGCAAGCAATTAAGTGGTCGGGTTGTCTCGAAACGGAGCGGCGATGCGAAGACTGCGGAAGACGATGAGAATGATGATGACGACGAACTTCTCGAGAGCATTCCTTTTGCATGCATCATCTGCAAGAGCTCCTATAAAAGTCCTATCATTACGAAATGCGGCCATTACTTTTGCGAGTCATGCGCCCTGCAGCGGTATCGGAAGAACCCCTCGTGTGCTGCATGCGGGGCAGGCACTGGTGGTGTCTTCAACGTCGCAAAGAAGCTGAATCACTTGCTGGACAAGAAGAGGGAACGTGCGAGAAAACTACGAGAGCAAGCAATCGCAGAGGGTGAGGAGGTTAGCAGCGATGAGGAGGATGGTGATGAGGAGTCTTAATTTTCCTGCTGCGATGACCATTCATGAATGGCATGGCATTGTATCTAGTTGCGCTGGCCGCAAGGTTACGAGTGTACAATGTATAAAACAAAGCGTATCACTGCTGCCGTTATATATTTTCTAACGTATCTTTCATCTCCGGCGGAACAGCCACTGCAAGTTTGACTTTGTATATGCCGTGGATATATTTCGAGTCTGTTCCCCTCAACTCTCAAGTCCTTTAAATAGCTGCCAAATAAGCTTTCGTGCTTGTCCGAGTCCTTAAGCTTGTCCACATATGGTTATCTATCTAGGCAGCAACAATTACCATGAACAAACTAGTTCTGCGAGGAATGAATATAACTACCTACTTCAATTTGATAATAATACTCCGTAGTCTAATCTATATTTCAGCTCAATCTGAGACAGTGGTGCCATAATGCAAGTGACATGCTCCACTGAGGTTGCATTCCTTCGAGGTCAATAAGCCTCACATAACGTCTATCTACCGGGTAGATAGTTGATAGACAAGGATCAGAGTCATTGCGAGATGTCACAGCCACTATCAGTTCCTATGTTTAGAGTAACAAAACAACAAAGGGGAAGAAAGAAGCCTAAAGGTTCACCCTTGTTCAAGACCTATCTATGTCGATTGTCGAACTACCCTGTCTATTAACTAACTTGATCGTCCTGATTTGGACAATCAGTTAACGTAATTCCCAACCCAGTCAGACACCCTAGCGAGCCGGACACCTCTGTATTCCATATTGAATAGCACTCTTCAAGACTTTAATATCGCAACCACGTCCATATACGCTATAATATAGGTAAGAAATTTAGACTATATATAGATTAAAATATCTGAGTACTCTTTCACAAGGCCCTAAAATACTATTCTCCTCTCTTATTGTCTAAAAAGTTAATGTCACCAAAAATACAGCTGTAATTTATGTTACCTGAGTATTTACATCTACTAGGAGGCTGTAGCTTATGAATATGACTCTGTACGTTTATACGAATACCTCCTACCTAAACTTAGACCCTGTAGATGCTTGGTTGTTGAGATATGAAAGCCTTGATGGGTGCCATTTTATATGGAGTACAGAGGTGTCAGGCTCGCTAGGGTGTCCGACTTGGTTGGGAATTACGTTACTGGCTCGTCCATAAAATTGGTTGAAGAAATTGACCCTGCTGATCAGCGGGATATCAACCCCCACAATCTCCACAGCTTCGCAACGCAAAGTCATAGTATAGCATCATCGCCGCACAGAAAGGACAAGAGGAACATCACAGGAAGAGCCACGGTTGCGGTGAGAGGGCTCATACGTATGCACCCAAGCGGACAAAAGCCTTGTCTGGGACAACGCCACGAGCGAACCTTGGTAACGTTCCCTAGATTCAATCTGTCTTAGACGACCTCAGAACCAACCGAGTGCTGCGCCTCTCGGCGGAAGGCAGACACCCTCACGCTGAAGACCATGATCACATTTCACCCCCTCGGGCGGCCATGATGAGCTTCGACGGCAGAGCAAACTGTCAGGGGCGTGCAAACAGTTTGCGACAATAGCGTTCTGAGCCGTCTGTGCGAGTCCTTTCCTAACATCCACTTTTGCGCTGTCGTGGGCGCCAAGCTTCCCCGCTAAAGACGCTAAACAACGGGAGAGGGCCCGTATGGGTGAAAGACGGACGCCGACTGGTTGGCCCCTGGCCCCTGGGTCTTGGAGGGCCTCTCTACGTTTAGGTACCTAGCTTTGGGACGAGGGACTGGTTAGGTAACTGGCTACCGCTGCTAGTTGGTAACAGTCAGACACAAACTTTAGTAAGTGGATAGTACCTTACCTATCTAGTCTGTTTTACGTTAGTAAGTACGTAGCGTGGCTCGGCCGGTGGAGATTAAGAATATGCCCCTCAAAGTCAAGTCAAAACCCAATTCCAAAATGAACCCCCCCAAGGCCCCCAGAGGGCCCCAACTCGCGACCCGTGGTTGAGAGACGAATCTACCTAACTCTAATCGCCCCATATCCAATATGGATGGGGTCCCTTTTGCCTGGGGCTGGGGTGCCTGCTCTGGGCTCTGAAGCTAATACAAAGTTCACCCTTTTCGCTCCTGAGTTCTTTTTTCCTCTCCAGTTTCTGTTGCCTTTCGTGGTCTGCGGTTGATATACTTCCCCGGCGGCCTGCTCTCACCCGGCTGCTTTTGCTCGTCCCCATACTACTTTTAATATATCAGGCTGGTCCCTAACTCAATGGCTGAATTTTGGCGTTGATCCCAGGGTGTTTCTGTTTGGATACACCGTATAGGCCCTCGTGGTTGGTATAGCGAGTCATTCATATTGGAGATATATCCACTGCCACAACCGCAACAATCACAATGAAAAGCAGTTCCCGAATCATATGCTGCGCAACTCTGCTGCTCCTAATACCGCTGTATCTTGTAAAGGTGCACCTGGAAGATTTCTGCGACCAGTACCATGCAGGCACATACCTGGTCGACTGGACCAAATCGCGATATTTCCCGCAGACCGTTCCCACCCTCCCTCATGGACGAACAGGCGACAAGGTTATCGTCATGGCTAAGCTGGAGGAAGAACACACGGAGTGGGTCGAGGAAGAACTGCCAGAGTACGTCGAGCTATCCCTGTACCAAACCCGTCTACGTTACTGACCGGACCCTCACAGCTGGCAGCGCGCAATCTACACCGTCAACCCCTCCAAAGCAACCGTCGCAGACACCAAGAAGCTCACCACCCCGCTGAACAAAGGCCACGAATCCATGGCCTACCTCACCTACCTAATCGACCACTACGACGCCCTCCCCTCCACCATCGCCTTCCTCCACTCCCACCGCGCCGGCTTCCTCATGGCCTGGCACGTCGACGCCCCGCTCCACGATAACGTAGCAGCCATGCGCGCCCTCCAGCTCGACTTCGTCCAGCGCAACGGCTACGTTAACCTCCGCTGCAACTGGAATCCAGGCTGCAAGGCCGCCCACCGTATCAACCGCCACGTCACCGAGCAGGTCTGGGCGGAGATCTTCGACGGAACGAGTACCCCGCCGCTGAACACGACGACTTCGCCTGCCCGTGCGGCAATGGCCGTGGATGCTGCAGCGCCCCAGCAGAAGTTCCTGGCGAAACCGAAAGAAGTCGGCGCCGCGTGCTGTGCGCAGTTCGCCGTGTCGCGGGAGCAGGTCCTCCAGCGGCCGCGCGACGATTATATCAGATTCCGGCAGTGGGTTATCGATACCGACAAGGACGATGCGTCGAGTGGGCGAGTGATGGAGTTCCTGTGGCATGTAATTTTTGGCCAGGAAGCTGTATAGTAAGTTTTCCTGACTAACTTTCCCCGGATGAATGTGGGCGTGGGCGGGGCTGACTGTTGTGTAGTTGTCCCGATGAGGAACTCTGCTATTGTCAGGTCTATGGGAAGTGCTGATTTCGCAGTCTCAGCCTGCGCGGTCCTTTTGCGATGGCGTTTATATAGACGATTTTCATCTAAGATACCTGGTCGCTTACTTACGCTGTACATATAGACAGTCCTTGTATTAACTTTTTTAGAAACCTGACACGTGTCTTACCAGGACATCATTATTGCCATAAAGGCTTATCATTACCCACTAACAGTTTCATGTCGTACGGACACGACACTCTTATTTGGACTCCATGTACTCCTCGACTCGCTCAATGAGATCCGCTTTCTTTCCCGCTGTCGAACGCCCGTGAGCTGTCAGAAAGTCCTTGAGAACAGCTACAGTAAGCTATATCACATATCGGCGTTAGCAGCATTCAGACAGTCGGCATGTAAGCGACTTACCTTCGAAAGAGTTCCTTTCTCATAGTGAAGCCGGACCTCGACGTCCACTCCATCGGACCCGCTCTCTGACTTGATCCGTTTTGACGGATGACTGGAAGCTTCGTCGCCATCGGCGGCTCGGTCTTTGGCGCTCCGTTTCACTAATGTGCTCTTTGGACCATGCGCTGCCGGTGCCGCGTACTGTTTTTCTAATTCGTCGGCCCACGACAGGACATACTCTCCAGCACGCTGGGGCAGCTTAGCAATGCTCCATCACGGAATGCGCAGAGATAAAAAGAACAACAAGATTCAACCTACCTTGTCAATCTGGCGGTATTTCGGTATTGTTTTGTCTTCGGGCTTTTCGGGAAGGTCTTCATCTAGTGCAAGGGCTTGTAGGATGCGATAATGCCATTGGAGCGCTGCAGGGAACAATCAGCATTACCCGTCCATGAATTAAAACTCTCCCAGCTTACATGGATTTGGATATTTCTGCGGTTCGTATGACGCCTTGGGAAGCTGCAGCTGCTGCACGATTGTCCGCATTTGGTCAATCAAGGGCTCTGGCGCTACATTGAGTGTCGTTTCGGGATTCTGTCGAACGTCGTCCGCGTATGGTAGGGGTATAATCCACATTCCAGGAGGAAATTTCTGGACACCATTTTCGTCGACCTTCTCTTCACCCGCTATCATTGCGCCCAGCACTGGAACCGCGTTTTTGCGTGGAATGAACCACACAAGAGCCAACTTGTGATCCTTCAATAGCTTCTGGTGCAAAGCAGAGAATACACGTGTTGAGCCCACGTAATCCTCCTCAGAAGGGTAGATGAAGAATGGGTGCTTGACGTTGGCCCAGAAAGCGAGAGCGGCGAGTGGCTTGAATCCAATGATACGGATCACTGGGTCACCGAAGTGTCTCAGCGCCTTTTGCTCCTCGGGAGTGAAGGACACCTGATCGTTACCAAATTTATACGCTTTCCGTATCTCTGACTTTTCGACGGTGCGAGCAGTATCATCTGCGATCTGGGTAGTTACTCCTTTAACGATCTGAGGCTTCTCTCCGCCAAGCCAGACATAACAGCTGCGTGCAGGGGCCTGGCGTTTGAACAAGAGATATCCTGTCACAGAGATCTTGAAGTTCGGCCCAAGCTCCAGCGGCATGTTCGAAAAATGCGCTCGGCGAGGGACCGACCGGGAATTTATGCTGGACAGGAGGCCGTTCAGCAGCGAAATCCCGTCTCCGGAGGCAGTCGACACCTTTGAATCGTCTTTCAGGTACACAGGAGCCTCTGCATCAGTTGGTGAGGTTTTGTAGATGATATCCTATACAACGTGAGCCACAAAGTTGCCTACACTAACAGTCAACGCCCGCTAGTCTTACGTCATAGAACTTGGAGCTGTCGAACTCATGCTCAGGCTGAGAAATCGGAAACAGCTCAATGGTCACCCCCAGATCGTAGAGATCTTTCGCGCGGACGGTGGCAGCCGATCGTTGACTCTTACTATCCCCGTGAGGGTTATCATTGTCTGTGACGATGAACAATCGCCGGGATAGAAAGTTGGGAGCTTTGGATGTGAATATCTGATTCGCGCAGAAAAGTACATTGGCCATGGAGACCCGCTCTTTCGATGGCACGAGCACATCTCTTGCTTTCCCTTCGTCCTCTGCCAGAGCACGGAGTTCTTTCACCTCTCGTGCTGAAGGGACATCTAGATCTGTAAAAAGGTAGCAATGAGGATAGGATAGATCCCCACGGCTGTTCTCATCCTCGTCGTAGAATTTGGACGCCTGCGTCCCGTACAGTAATACGCCGATCATGTCACGAGGATTGGATATGATGCGTTGTTGCATGAGGTGGTATGCGCATTTCAAAGCCGCGGTTGTTGGTGATTCTTCCACTCTCTTCTTAGGATCAGATGATGGACGCGGAGTCAACATTGAATCGCTGACTTCGATGGCGAAGAGGACAGCGTCTTTTACTGCTTTGTAGCCCTGCGAGAGATATTTAGTGCATGACGCCTCGACAATGGTAGGATTCCGCATACAGTCTCATCGATCTCCTCCTCCTCTTCCACTGCCTCATCATCGCGGTATGGATTGTCATCAGCCATGATGAGAATAATGAATAGATTTAGAAGTTACAGCCTAGGAATGAAGAGGAGGAAAAGAGGTACATTGAAGGCAAGAAGATATGGTCGGTATTTACATCACCACCTTCACTGCCTTGAGTGTCTACCGCTCTGCTGCCTGCATGCCCGCCGCCTCCACGACTGACGCGATCCCGTCAAATGGGAGCTACGCGGGGAAACACGAACATCACGTGAATGTGCCAAGACTTGATGACCCTAAATCATTGCTGATTGGTCAAACTTCTAGCTGCCGCTGTTCCGTCATCAACCACCTGAGGACCTGGGTAAGGTATGTTCTCCAGTTACAATTCCTTCTTGCCACAATTCTTTCATTGAGTGGTCAAATACTATTCGGCGGATTTTTGTGGGCATAAGTGTGGCTGTGATAGACAGATAGACGACGGCCGACCTTTTTAGTACATTATCATCGCACCTCTCCATGGCTCTCCGCCGGCCATTAACGCTTCCGAGGCACATTCTCAATGGAGCTTGTTTAGGCTTGCGACCAGCTGTGTCTCGCACCGCTCTGACTTATGGGCAGGAGCAGAGGAAAGGGCTTGCAACAGCAGTTCCCCCGGTTACTCAAGATGCAACTGGGTCCAAGGGCCCCACGGCAATGGTCTTCCTGAACATGGGTGGGCCATCAAAGACTGACGAAGTGGAAGATTTTCTGAGCAGATTATTTGTATGCACTCCTCAATATACCCAATCCTACCACTCTATATGAGACTGACAATTCTGTCTCCGTGTTCCAGGCCGATGGCGATCTGATTCCTCTCGGACGACTCCAATCGTACCTCGGCCCTCTCATCGCTAAGCGCAGAACCCCAAAGATCCAACGGCAATACTCGGATATTGGTGGAGGCTCGCCGATCAGGAAATGGTCTGAATATCAGTGCGAGGAAATGTGCAAATTGCTGGACAAAATCAATCCCGAAACCGCCCCTCACAAGCCTTATGTCGCATTCCGATACGCCGACCCTCTGACGGAGGAAATGTACACAAAGTTATTGGAAGATGGGTTCGGCAATGGGAAAGGAGGGCGCGCCGTCGCATTCACCCAGTACCCCCAGTATTCGTGTTCCACCACGGGTAGCTCGCTGAACGAGTTGTGGAAATGGAGAACCAGGCTGGAGGGTAAGCGTGCGAATGGCGACATGGACCCCGCTGGTGCCATCCAGTGGAGTGTCATTGATCGATGGCCAACGCACCCTGGCCTCGTGGAGGCTTTCGCCCGGAACATCGAGGAGCAGCTGAAGACCTACCCGGAGGAGAAGCGAAATGGTGTCGTACTCTTGTTCTCAGCCCACAGTCTGCCTATGAGTGTTGTCAACAGAGGTGAGACTCATCTTCTTACCGATCAACAAGATCTGCTCGCTAATACATCTCCTAGGTGACCCATACCCTGCTGAAGTCGCTGCAACTGTGCATGCTGTCATGCAAAGATTGAACTTCAGCAACCCTTACCGACTGTGCTGGCAGTCCCAAGTGGGACCGTCAGCTTGGCTTGGAGCCCAAACTAGCGATACAGTCGAAAACTATGTCAAACGTGGGCAGACCGATATTATTCTAGTCCCCATTGCCTTCACCAGCGATCATATCGAGACTCTGTACGAGTTGGATCTGGAAGTGATTAAGGAAGCAAACTCTCCGGGAGTCAAGAGAGCCGAGAGTTTGAATGGCAACCCCATTTTCATCCAGGCGCTAGCAGACATTGCCCAAGAGCACCTCCGTAAAGGAGAAAAGTGCTCATTACAGATGACTCTGCGCTGTCAAGGCTGTAAGAGCGAACGGTGCCTGGAACAGAAGAAATTCTTTGCTGGCGACCGATTTTCTTCTCTTGTAGTTTAGTTTATTTCTATTATGGCTGTTCTCGGCCGTTGTATACAATATTAGGGGCCATTTTCTTTTCCTCGGGGCGTTTAGTTGTGCTGTCATGCGAGATGATCTATTGACGGAGCGCAGCAGAGCAATGTATATATTGTTGAAAAGTCCGAGCATACAATCTCATTTCGTTGTTGGTCTTCAATCGTTGTGACTCTATATAGAAATATTACGGAAGAAGGATTTCCCATCAACGTCTCTGTCAACCTTGACAGTTACTTTGTCACCAAAGTCGCACACGTGCAACGACAAATCGCGGTCCAGTAGTAGTGTCGGCGTACCTTATCGAGAAACTGCCCGAGATTACTTCGACTCAAATCTCAACCCCTGATAAGAAGGATTGATTATTGAACAAACTCTCATAACTAGCGGCCGTTTATGATTCACTGGTTGGTCGGAATCGGGCTGACGCAAAGCCCAACGGCCGCGAAGCCGCTCCAGCTCCGTTCCCAGTTCTCGTGAAGAATTGGTAATCATGAGTTCATGACGGCTGTGTTGCGTGTGTCCACTCCGGCCCCCAAGCTATATCCATAATCATCCTGGTTCCCTTCATTCTTGGCCATCCCCTCGCTTGATCATTACATTGTCTTCGTCCCAGGTGTGAGGGCCGTTTGTGTTATATATGATTCCCAATTTATTGTTATCATCAATGCCACCAAGGTTATCGTGAATGTGGATCTCAACCTCATTCCACCTCGGGTCCTAGGAGACTTCTCACTTTTATTGAATTTCTTTATCGCCAGCGATGGAGAACGAGGAAGCCTTTGAGGCTGATGCACAGCTGCTCGCCAGAGCTGCCTCGTCAAATTCTGGTGTTCGAACCACTTCAGATGATAGTATCAAGGACACAGTCCGATTGCGCGTCCACGAAACAACGCCGTTACTAGCAGGCCATGGAAATGCGGAAGGCGCGGAGCAGAACGCAGCTGGCCAGGGGGCCAGCTGCTGGGGTTTCTTCAGACAGCCTCATGTGCGTTGAGCTAATGCTCCCGATTCAAACCCATTCATCGCGTTCTGATCTCTTTCTAGGTCTTTTGGTTGTTTCCGTTTCTGCTTCTCTACATGCTAGGGTTTGCTGGTGTTGTCGTCCCCAAGATCAATCTGATTCTCTCTCTCGTTTGCAGGGACTATCTTTCCAAGAAGGCTTCACAGGATCCTAACTTTACGTATCTGCCGGTTATCATTGGGGAAGACAACCCCCAGTGCCAGGTGCCTGAGGTGCAATCTCTCGTGGCTCAATTCCAACTCTACCTCAATTTGATTGCAGGAATCCTATCCGCATTGGTCAGTCCGCGGCTCGGTCATGTGTCAGACCGTTATGGCAGGACAAAGTTGATCGCTTTGAGCTCGCTGGGAGCTGTGCTTGGTGAAACACTCACAGTCCTTGTAGCAGCCAGGCCAGAGCAATTTTCCATCAACCTGCTCCTAGCAGGAGCTCTACTGGACGGCATTGGAGGCTCGTTTACCACGATTTTGGCCCTTGCTACCTCTTATGCTTCTGATTGTACTGCCCCAGAAAAACGTAGCGTCGCGTTTGGATATCTCCACGGCGCTCTCTTCGTTGGATTGGCGTGTGGGCCACTCATTGCAGCGATCGTCCTGAAGAAGACCGGGGAGATAATACACATTTTCGCTGCTGGCTTGGCTTTCCATGCGCTATTCTTCTTCATGGTTCTGCTCGTCATTCCAGAATCGCTGCCAAAGGAGCAACAGCAAGCTGCGAGAGAGAAACACCGGATGAGGTTCACTCAAAAGGAAACTGCTGGCTTGGTTTCTCCTTCTTGGTTACAGCATCTGAACCCAAAGAACCTCATCACACCACTCTCCATTTTGTTTCCGCCTGTTGGACGCCCCAGCTCTCTTTTTCCGAACCGCAAGGGCGCAAGCCCTGCCCTGCGAAGAAACATCATACTTCTCGCTGCCATTGATACAGTCGTATTTGCTGTCGCCTTAGGGACCGCCCAGCTTGTGATCATTTATGCTGAATTCATGTTTGGATGGGGAAATGTCGAATCCAGCATCTTCATCTCGATCGTCAGCACTGCGCGCGTGCTCGTTCTTTTCTTGGTGCATCCTATCGTCACACGCATCTTCCACAAGCGTACCGCCGAACAGCGCGCTATCCCCGGCTCCAATAGGGTGGAGCTTGTGGTTATACAGATATCTATCTTTTTCGATTTTCTTGGCTATGTGGGATATACGCTTGTACGAAGCAGTGCGCTTATGACTCTTTCAGGCATTGTCGCCGCTCTAGGAAGCCTAGCTACGCCTACGCTGCAATCGTCCTTGACCAAACACGTGCCCCGTGATCGAGTCGGGCAAATACTCGGAGCTAAAGGGCTCTTGCATGCTCTGGCTCGAGTGATTGCGCCTACTTTATGCAATCTCGTCTACAGCCTGACAGTGGGCAAATTTACTCAAACAGTCTTCGTTTCTCTGGCAGCTGTGTTTTTCTTGGCGATCTGCAGTAGTTTCTATATAACACCAAATGGTTCGGCACTATTCCCTTTCACCTAGCAGATACGAAATGCTAACGCTATGCAGTATCCATTGACGAGTCTCGGCCAAGCAGTCCTCTACATGAGGCGAACGAAGACGGGGAATTGGATGAGGACACTCTCTTACGGTCTTAGAATTATATATAAGGCGATATTAGTGATAGACCTTCTGCTATAATGTGTACGTTTTTGGTTCGGCGTTCGGAGTACCTCCATTAGCAATTGTTCCTGAATACTGAAATCATATCATAGTAAGTCCGCGATGGAGCTCAGAGGAGCTAGTTACGATGAAATCTCTACAGGTATAATAAGGGACACTCTATGAATTTTCGTGTCCGACGTCGATTATACAGATTTAAGGATTGTAGGAAAATAGGAGAATATATGTAGCGAATTACTACTATCGACGCTGGTAGTTGTCGTATGATCTTGGCTGGATCCGGAGAGCGATCGGAGGACTACGGCACGCGACAAAGCCTGCAAGCGCACCGCATGCAAACTTTCTGCTGGAGCTCAGGAAAAGTCCACCGAAACTGCCCTGTTGAAGCTCCCAACCCAATTGTGCCCATTGGCGTCCCTCAACTTTTCTTTCGGGCATTGTCCTTATTAGTTAAGCTTTATCTCGGTTTACTATTCATATCAATGCTTCACAGGTGATACCCATAGAACCCGCCGCCTGCGGTGCAATAGGTTCTACTGCTATGCTCTCGAAACCAACCAACAGCCCCCCGGCTGTCCCCTCTCGAAATGCTCTCCGGGTTCTGCGTAGATTAGCTCTTGCAGGCTCGACTGTGGGCAGTTTTTGCACGGTCGCAGCCATCACCTACGATGTTCATCGTCGAGTCCGAGTCGCCGAGCGCATTGTCGAGAATAAAAGGGCCCTGCAGACCTCCGCACCCAACTACGATGCCACATCTGCTGCGAAGCGACTCGCCCGGATGATGGAAGCAGCGGAAGCGGGCGAGTTCATGGGACTGGCGTCGTTGAAGGAGGCGGACAGGAAGATACGAGAAGGGCAAGCTACACAGGATGACGATGTGGTAGCTTTGCACCAGGATGGCTTTCGACGTCCGGGCATGGGGATGGAGGATCCACGGGTGCCAGTCCAGGTAGAGTCTTACCTGGAAACTGCCCGGTCGCAACTTGTCGATGCGCTTACATCACGGCCGAGTTTTGAGAGTGGCTTGGGCCGAAGGGATTTTGTTCCTGCCAGGCAGGTCCGGGTTGCGGACGCCATGGAGCGGATGAAAAATGCTATAGAGTCAAATCATGCCAGCTCGTCGGTGCAACTTTCGGATGCATTACCCGAGAGAGAGGAATCGCAGAGTGAAAGCCAGGTTCTTGTCCCGACACGGATGCAGGAACTACTCGACCGCGGTCGTCCCATCGAGGCGGCCCAATTTTTCCTGAGCGCACATTCCGCCTTATTGAATGGCATATCTTCGGACAGGAAGGAAATGGCTGCGAAGGTATTCTTCGTCAACTGCAAAGAGGACAACGTGTTTATCGCCAGAAGTCTATTTGAGCGGCTCGAAGAGGTGGATAAGATCACACCTGAGATGTGGAAGACGTTGATGCTGGCTTTGGCGAAGAAGGGTTGCATTGAGTCAGTTGCGAGTGTTTATACGCGATACATGCGCAAGTTCCCTTGCCCTCCGGAGATGGTGGACGTTGTGCTGCGGAGTCTGCTTGAATCCCACCGACTCACCACTGCGAAATGGTTCCTCTTGCGGAATCTACCACATGACCGTGATTGTGGCTTGTGCGGAGCCTATCTTTCCGGCCTTTGGAGGAAGACAAGAAGTATCGAGTTGTTAAACGGGCAGTTAAAGAAGATTTTGACAATTCTTCCAAAGTTCGAAAAACAGCCTAGCGACAAACTGTTCAACCCGGTGATCAAGGCATATGTTGAATTTGGGCGAGTTGCCGATGCCGAAGCTCTGGTTCATGATATGACGACGCTATATGGGCTCCCTCTTCGTTGCCGAACACAGGGCCTATTGGTGTACGCCAAGGCTCTGAACTGTGACTGGGAGGGAGTCGACGCGGGACTACAAGCGATGCACAGGCTCAAGCTGACGAGACGCCGGCGAGATTTTCTTCCAATTTTTGATCGAATATTCCTCGAGTACTGGGTCTCCCATTCGGGAATTGAGATTCGCAATTTTGTCTTCCGGTACCTCGATAAATTTGACATCGTCCCCGACCGCGTGCTCTACAAGCACATCCTGGAGGCCTTTGTGGAGAAAGGGGACAAGGATATGATTGCTGAATTCACAAGTATGGCGAAGCAACGATCGTGGAACATCCCCATAAACGAGCAGCAATTCTTGGAGATACTACGGTCTCGTCGCCTCGCATTGGAAGGAGCACCAGTGGGGTTCTGGCAAATGCTGCAGGCAGCGCGTGTGAAGTACGGGCACAGCTCCACGTCTCAACGTATTATGGGCTATGACCAACAGTCATTCCCCTTGCCGGAAGTCAACAGCATGCCATATACACAAAATCCACTATCGTGGTACCAGAGAACGATGCAAGAGACGACACCGTCAAAACCTGTAGACCAATATCAGAAACTCCATAAGCAGATGGCACATTATTTGCACGCTGGAAAGCTGAAGGAAGCATTGAGGTGTTTCCAAAATGCTAAGAATGCCCGGTTCCAGATGAGGCAGCTTCACGTTGAATTGGCGGTCATAGCGACTTTGCTTGAAGACGGTCTCAGTGCAGCGCGTACTCTCATCGAGACTGAATGGCGGAGTATCCGTCACCTTGTCCGCTTCTCTCCTATCTTCTTCCGTCAAGTCATGGCGGTCGATGAGGATGCAACTGGCCACATTGTCCAGATGGCAGTCCTACGCTTCTACCAGCTTTGTTGGTCTACGAAACACATGAAGGTCAAGCACCACCTTACCGTCGCGACAAGCCGCCGCTTGATCTCCCAACATAAGCCGGAAATGGCCCTGGAGCTTCTGACGGCCGTGTACATGTCCCGCTATAGATTTGCAGCGACCTTTGACGGGGTTTGCATGAAGATGTTCGCTCGCGCCTTCGCCGCGACAAACAACATTCTAGGCTTACGATGGTGTATTCTTACTGCTTTGTCACGAGATAGCGCACTCAATCGTGACTTTGTGGTGGAAGTTCGCCGAATCTTGGGCACTCTAAGTCCACCTTCCGCGGTGGATGCCACCGCCGGCCCTGTCACCCCTGAGCAGCTGGAATACCTTCATTATATCGCCGATCTACTCGAGGAGAAGAACGAAGGGTGCTCCCCGATATGGGAACTCAAGCATGATGCTACGCTGAAGCAGTCTTCGAGACAACAGTTGAAGCAACCTCTTGACGCGCGACGTCTGTTCAACCAGTCCGATGTCCGCGAGACGGTGAAGGGATGGGACGAAGAATACGAGTTGGAGGCAGTGCTGGGTAGGATTGACAATGACCCGAACTCTATTGCTGCTCGATGGAACGAGGATCGTCGTTCTCATCGGAAAGAGGCGGGTTTATGACGACCGGTCTGATACCATCTAGGGGGTGATTGCAATTGCAACTTCTGGCTGAAACTTTTTATTGGATCATGCGATAGGCTCAGCGACTGTATATATACTATTGACACTCTGTATTTTACTCTATTGTGCGGTTTATTACTGCCATTACTACTCATCGGAAATAGAATAGAGATGATGAGATTGGATGCAAATATCACGGATATGGCCGAAACCCCCTTGCTCCTTTTGCAGGCAACAACGCCGAATGGTATCCAATGATAGTCATTGTAATCGATCGGATCAGATCAGACCAGAAGATGGTCTTTTCCGGTCCTTTCATTGATCATACGGTGTTCCTGGATTTCTCTCACCAATAAGAATCTAGCACAGCGGAGAGAGGAAAGCCAGTCTTTCACATGTCACGCCACTGCCCGCTCTTGGCCCCTTTCCAATAAAAACACTTAAGGTAAGTTAAGTCTCCGATCTTTTTCTATCTCCGCCATCCCATCCTCTTAATCAATTGCTTACCCTGCCGCCGACTCGCTGTCGCTCAGAGGAGGGGAAAAATATGCACCGTGCTTCTCACCAATTCCCTCGATTCCATCGATTTTGCTGACCGAATTCCCTCCGCACCATGGCTACCGCTCCGATCAACGGCCATGCCACCAAATCTCCCTCCTTAGATACGGCCGAAGCCCGCCGACTCAAACACAACCATGCCGATGTCGTGATTATAGGTGCAGGAATTCTGGGCTGCGCGCTGGCAGTCGCATTAGGACGACAGGGGCGGAGTGTCATTCTCCTGGAAGCCTCATTGAAAGAGCCAGATCGCATTGTGGGCGAATTGTTACAGCCTGGCGGTGTACAAGCTTTGGAGAAGCTCGGTCTCCGCGAGTGTCTGGAGGGCATAGACTCGATTCCCGTGGAGGGCTATTATGTTTCGTATTTCAAAGACCCCGTGACAATCCCCTACCCGAAGCCTACGCCCACGGCGCCCCCGCCGGAGGGCCGCTGCTTTCACCACGGCCGGTTTGTGATGAAGCTGCGCGAGGCCGCCATGGCATGCCCCAATGTCAGTGTTGTTGAGACCAAGGCGACGGACCTGGTCACTTGCTCGCACACCCAGCAGGTTCTCGGTGTCGAGTGCACGTCCAAGGATAATGTCCGCGCTTGCTACTTTGGCCACCTCACCGTCGTTGCTGATGGCTACGCCTCCAAATTCCGCAAGCAACATCACCCGCATACCCCCAAGGTTCGCTCGAGGTTCTGGGGTCTCGAGCTGATCGATACGAACCTCCCGAAGCCTTACTATGGGCATGTTTTGCTGAGCGATAATGCCCCGATCCTCCTGTACCAGATCGGCACACACGAGACCCGCATCCTCGTTGACATTCCCGAAAACCTCCCATCAGCGTCCGTCAAGAATGGTGGTGTGAAGAGCCACATGCGCAACGTCGTCCTCCCTGCCCTTCCTGAATCCGTGCAGCCAGCCTTCATTGCCGCCTTGGAACAAGGCCAGCTGCGATCTATGCCGAACTCCTTCCTCCCCGCCGCGACGAACAAGACTCCGGGCCTGGTGATACTCGGTGATGCCCTGAACATGCGACACCCATTGACAGGAGGCGGAATGACGGTCGCCTTCAATGATGTCGTGACGCTGCGCGATCTCCTGAGCCCAGAGAAGGTCCCCAATCTGGGCGACACGAAGCGAGTCGTGAAGCAGCTCTCGACCTTCCACTGGGAGAGAAAGAAGTCGGCTTCCGTCATCAACATCCTCGCACAAGCGCTATACGCTCTATTCGCCGCAAATGGTGCGTTCATCTCCCCCTATCCCCTCCTCGCTCACTCACCATTGATTGCACTGAAGCGCAGTTAATTAACATCGCATCAACAGACCAATACCTCCGAGCCCTCCAACGCGGCTGCTTCCGTTATTTCCAGCTGGGACTCATCGACGGCCCCGCAGGCCTCCTCGGCGGCCTCATCAAAAAGCCCTCCGTCCTTTTCGTCCATTTCTTCTCCGTCGCCATCCTCTCCCTCTGGGTCCTCCTCCGCGAATACCCACCCTACCTCTTCCCCGTCGCCCTCTTCAAATGCATCATGACCTTCTGGACAGCCTGCGTCGTCATCTTCCCATACATGCTAATTGAGGCTTTCTGCTGAGCAACCCATTTGATATCATGATTAGTAGACGCTAGCGGGACTCTGTCTTTCAGCACACCCGCGCTTCATCTCCCTTCTTATCCATGTTTTCCTCTTATGTTGATAAGGATTTCTAATTCGGTTCGGATTCGTCCATCTTATGTAATTACTTATTTACCTTATGTCCTCATACTTCTTTCTTGTGCTTTGACTCTCCGACAATCCCCTTTCTGGCTTGCGTGTTCTGCTACTTCTAACGAAGATATCCTCAAGAGGCTATTGTTACGCTCTGTATGGACGTCATTGATGTATATACGTTCCGTGTATACAATTCGGGAAAAGAAGAGCTATAGAACCAAGGTCCCTGGCTGATCAACCTTCATTGATCTGCTTTCTATACAATCTCCAAATTTCCACATTTATTCATTGTCCATCCTGACTGGCATAATATCTGACGCACACACATACACACACACACAAAAACGCAAATTCTTTCGGAGACACGAAACACAAACGGAAAAAGTGTACACTGACCCACTCGCCTGGCTCCCTGCTATGATGGTATAGACGATCATGATGATAATGCCGATTGGAAAGCAACCACGAAAACCAAGCCGACCACGGTTTAAACAGGCAAAACAGAATGAAATGGAAAAAAGAAAACCAGGTAACCAGACTCTTCACTGGCTCTGTGCATCGGACAAGCTCATTCAATCCACTGTATGAATGTTTTTGGTTGGTCGTAATATTTGTTGTATGTCCCCTGCTCTTTTTTTGGTAAACGTAAATAGAAACAGAAGACGACGAAAGGAAAATGCATAGCCCGCATGCAAAGTGGACCGACACTGAACCACAGAGACAACTAAAAAGGCGCAAATGACAATCCGAGGGAGATATGGTCAACTCCAAGGGACATGGCCGAGGTTAGAAACGTCAACATGTCGAAGAATCAAATGCAACAAACAGACGCAGATGTCGTATGCAATTATGCAAATCCCGCAAGCAATCCACGGATAGACTTCAAGACTGCCAAAAGGCAGTCTGACCTTGTAAACGCCGACAAGTGAACGGGAAAATAGAAGACGAGCGAAGACGATCGCAAACTCAGGAAAAGAGGAAAGCGAAGCAATATACCAGGTCAGTTGAGCTGGAACAGTCCGCAAAAATCAAGACAACGTCGAGGACACCGCCTCTTTTATACAGAAATGATAGCTCTCCCGAAAAGGTAAATCCAAGCAGCAATTTCCCTTTAATCGACGAGCCAAACGGGAACTCCTTCATAGGTGCTGTACAGGTGCCGGATGGTGATATAAACGCTCGGTGACGGGTCAATTTGAGATGGTCCGCAGAAAGGACGCCGCGGTCCAGGTTGACTCAGAGACCTGGGTCCATAATACCGGAGTGGATAGAGGCTGAGGAACTTCGAAGCAAAAGCGGGAGATCATTTTGCGTTGCTCATCCGCCTTTCCTCAACGACTCGTCCGCAGGTAGAGGCTCAGCACCCGCATGGAAGCCAGATCGGGGCTCAATTGGCTTGGCATTCTTTTTCTGCTTTTTCTTGGTTGTCTGCCATCCATTGCTTCCATGATTGCTAACTGAATCAAGAGTCGACGCATTGATACCGTTGGGCTTGCGAGGCGCATGGGCAATGTGCCGTTCCTTGCTATCCGCGGGTCCAGAAGAGATGTTGTGTGGACCGTCATGACGGTTCTTAGGCTTCGTCTTGTGGGTAACAGCGTTTGATTTGTCGGAGGAATCCGCATTATTCGAGCGACGTTTGCCAATGGCTGACGGCCCATTCGGATCCGCTGCCGGTGACGTCCCCGACGGAGGCAGTCCTCTTTCTAGGCCAGATTGCTTGGAGCGAGAGCCATCCTGATCCGATAACTCATGACGCGGCTGAACGCCTTTGAATCTTTCTGGGCTAGACCTGGGTGAGGTGTCGGCGACTTTGTCTCCATTGGAAACATGGAGATTTTGCAACCTGCTTGAGAGTAGACCAGGCTTCCCGTGGTGCCCATTGACACGGACGTCCGTTGCATTTCCTGACTTGGGAGTATCAATCGTCTGCCTGGTAAAGTACGCTGATTGATCGATCTCGACTGAGCTATTGTCCTGGTAGTCCTGGGAAAGCGAGTCGGAGATGCTGGCGGGGGTGTCCGTGTTGAGATCGTCAGACGCAGAAGTACAGTGGCTCATAGTGGCGTACTGATCATAAGCCTCTCCGGAAACCGAACTGCGCTGTTCACTCAAAGGGACGGAGCCATCGACTATCAGAGGGCCGTTCCGGTCGTGAGAGGACACTGGTCGAGGAGTGGCTCTCTGATATGACGACGCGGGCTTGGCAGAGGGCGCAACACTGCTCTCAGGGGGTGAGCCAAAGGTCTCGTTGGTAGGTATCGTGGACATGTATTCCTGCGGGGCTCCAACAAACGGCAGAATGCTGCCATTCTGGAGTGCCAGACCTACCGGGGCTGACAAGGGCGATAGCATGGCATTCTGATGATACATTTGCAATTGCGGAGAAGTTGCCAAATAGTACCCCATGTACTCAGACGGTCGGTTTTCATCCAGATACGGTGTACGGGACACGTTAGGGAGACTGCTGGGCATAAAGGGATTCTCGTCCTCGCTCTGATTCCCCTCCGGGGGAGATACAGAATTATTGCGCTGTTTTGGGAGAACGGAATTGTCGACAGGCTGAGAGACGGAATACAGCGGAGCAAAGCTCGGGAGAGCCGGGGAGTTCACAGGTCGTGCCGGCTGTGACTGTGCCCTGAGTGACCGACCAGGAGAGCCATTTGCTATGGACTGGCGACGCGGTGTACGTCGGAGCTCGGGAAGAGCAGATGCGGCAGAGGGCGACGGCGGATTCGTGCTACTACCCTGTAGGGGAGTGACAGCGACCGGAAGATAGGTGGAATTGTTGTACGCGTGCGGACGTAGATTCGCGCTGATAGGCGGATGAGTCCCGGACCTAGACCGAGACCCATCATCTACAATCGATTCAGGCTGCGGCTGTTGCTGCTGAGGAATGGGAAACTGTATGAACGGCTGGCGGATGAGCACTGGAGGGGGCCTCCCTGTGAGCAGCGCCTGGTTTTGCAATTGCAGTCGCAATTCCTGCTCCTGTGCTTGCAGGATTTGGATTTGCTGGTACAGGTGATCGTGCAACAGGTACTGTGCGTGCTGCGCCTGTAGAGATAGTTCCGTAGCACTCATGCCGGGATTCAGCTGGCGGAAACCGTTGGGCTTGTTCGGTGTATTCGATGAACGGCGGCCTCCGGAATGGCCACCGCGTGTGTAGTGATTCGAATGGCGCCCTCCACGACCTCCACGGCCGCCCCGGGAAGGTTGCGGCGGAGCCGTCAACGTAGGTCGTGGTTGAGGAGGCGGTCGCTCCCATGATCGCTCTTCCTCAGGCGGGTATTCATACTGCTCACAGCAATCCTCGAGGTTGCCCTCGGACACTGCCTTGAAAGCCCTACGCAACTCCATATGGACGCCTCGAAATGACGTGTCATCCGCTGTATTGCCCAGATTCCTCGACGTGTTGAATGGCTCTTCGACGCAGAGACGATTATTCTGGAGAAGGTGCCACCCCTTCTCCTCTTTCGATATCAACTTGCCTTCCCGCACGGATATCACGTACTTCTCATAGTCGAGCTCATGGCCATAATACCTGAAGAATTGGAAGAGCAGCTCCCCGAGCGTCTGCTTGTTTTTTCGCCCATACCCCACGAGGGAGCTAAGATCATCGTCGAATGAGCAAACTAGGCCGTCTGTCGTCACTCGTTTCTTGTGAGGTCGTGCCTGGAGACTCGGGAGCACGGGAGGTTCCCGTGTTTGCAGGAAATTGATAATCAGGCAGATCCAGGTATAGGAACTTAATGTGCCTCCAAGGCCTACAGCAGAATTGTTACCACGATATTTCACGAGGATGCCTGCTCGGAACGGGGCAAAACTTACCTGCATCGTTGAGGATCCTCCGTTTTGTCCAGTATTTGACGATCATGGCCAAAGGCCGAACACGCTCGTCGATTTCGACATACGTTCGCACCATACGCGTATTTTCCAACGCCAAAGTGTTGTTGACATTCATATCACACGCAAGACGTAGCTCCGGATCCCAGATCTTCACGATTGGGACTTTCGCATGTGAAACACAAACGACCCTTTCCATTCCATCTGCGGGCATTGTCAGTGAATGGTGGCAATGAACATCAGCCTAAGACACCTTACGTTTTGCGAGAACTTCAGCGAGCAGACACACGTGTTCCAGCTCTTTATATGTCGTTGTTATACATATGTCCACTGCTACAAGTCAGTCTTCAAAAATTCCGGACTATGCACCATGAACACTCACCGTCTGAATCGCTTGAGCAGAGCTTATTCCCAGACGACCCGAAGACATGAACCTTAATATCGTGACCTGGCCACTGATCATTGAAGAGTTTCTCCAACTTTCGAACCAGCTGACGCCGTCGGTCGTCGCTCTCCGCTGACGGTAATAAACGATCGTATACCTCCAACATATCCTTAGTCAGTCTCTTCTCCTCCTCTGCTTCAAGCCGCTCTTTGAGACCTTCCTTTTCCTCCGGTAACAGATCAGCACCTATTGTATAAGGCATCCTCCGTCGAAAAAAGGCCATAGCTGTTTCGTATTTGCAACCTGCGAACGGCTTTCGTAACGACGGAGGAAAGTGTATTGACTCGGAGTGGGTCGAGCGTGGCGACGTGCTTCCGTGAGGGGGGACGGCGTCCTCGAGTGGAACGAAAGATTGCGCGTATGTTGATATGGGGTGGAAGGGAGGGAATTCGACTGTTGTGAGGCTAGGGGAGGACGAGAATTTGCCTCTGTAGAGGTATCGGTGGACAAGTTCCACGGCATGGTGGAAGGCTTTCCCAACGCTATCGGAGACTTTCCACCTGTGGTCGAGGAGAATTTAGCATTCTCATAGGTATCTGAGATCATATAGATACTACTCCAACGTCGTCGAGCAACGTCGGCTCCAACAGAAGATTTGAGGGGGCCGTTGTTGAGAGAATTGGACGCCTAGTGTGCGAACCTCTTCCCGCAACTCCGGACCGATTCGACTTCGAACCGACTTTGCAACCAGAAGCAAGCCACCCAGCGAGTAATATACGATTGCCGATTGTTCCCAATAACAGCTCGTGTTCAGCAGACGGTACACGAATCTATGAAGAAGGCGAACAGCC